TCGGCCTCTTGGCAAATGACATATATACTCCGAATCAGCTTCAAACGCTAATTCCAAATATGCTATTTCTAGCTGCCACGCACCATTCCGAAGCGAGTTATGGGCTTTTTCCCTGCGCAAAATTGGCATGCTCATCGACTCAGTGGCATCACGGCATCATCATTCAGATGCTGATACACCTGCGTTAAGCTTTTTTTAGTGGGGAAAGATTGGATTTGTAACTGCTTCAAGACCTCAGCACCTTTTTCTTGCAGATTTTTATCTACAGGCAGTCTTCTCACGTTCAGTTAGGTATAGCCAATTTTGCGCAGGAAAAGCCCATAACTCGCTTCGGAATGACGCTGGCAGCTAGGACATAGCATATTGAATCAGCGTTTGAGGCTGATTCAGTAATATATATATATATACTATATATATATATATACTATATATATATATATATATATATATATATATATATATATTTATAATATATATATATATATATATATATATATATATATATATATATATATATATTATATATATATATGTCCCTTGCCAAAAGGCCGAGCTAAGTTAGGTAGCATCCTTTATCAGTAAAGTCTTCTATGTCGGATAGGCATTGCTTCACATATTCGCGAAAGGACCTCCGCAGAAGAATTTGAAAAAACTGGGAAACGGAACATCGAAGGACATTGCACCCCCACTTCCAATATATCAAAAGATTCTCCGCGCCGAGCTGAATCGAATGGTGGCTTTGTATTCAGAATTCGTCCACTCTGAAGCGAGATATGGCCACGCGACGCTGATGTATGGACATTGTCCATACATTCGCGTCTTTTTTTCAAAAAATGTGAGCGGTATTGTACAAAAAGATTGTTCTACAGAAAATTCACGAAGAAGAAAGGACGCGAAGGGAAATACATCTTTTACGCACGACAAAACATGAAAAAGCTTCATTCTCGAACCTCGCTTCGAACTCAGAAATCAATCATCACAAGAAGAAGCAAGGTGCAAGAATGAGACGAAAATGGGCAAAACGTTCAATCAAAACCATTCAAGAAAGAAAAAACAGTACTTTTCCGTTATCCGGACCCATTTTTTCAAAAGGCTCTTATAAAACACGTTCTGTAGTCTTAGAACAATTTTTATAGATTTTACGAGGACTGCTTCCCCGCCACATGTCGGGAAAAAAATCGACACGTCCTGATCCGTTTTGACATGTTTTTTCGAAATCATTTCCGGTGAGGTAAAGGAGCATTTTGTAATCATCTAGATGCGGTACATTTGATGTATATAAGAGCAAAACAATCTAGAACCATCACTAAACTATCTTAATTGCTTCAAATGATTCAACAATGTATTTCTCTTCAAACTTTCCGCCATGCGAGTTTAGCCAGGGAAGTCTATAAATGGGCTTGAAGTAGTACCTAGCCGCTGGTTGTTTCGCCACTTAGATGATGGAACCCTAGCGCCCCTCTCTATTCTGTGCATGTCTAGTTGTTCAGTGATAACAGAGTGACGTTATTATTATAACAATGTTCATTTTTAAGATTGTTTACTCAAAAATGGGGTCACTATTGACTAAAAAAACAGGTTGAAGTTGTGTCGTTAGGTAGGGCAACACAAACTCTTGGTAAAACTTATCAAACATGTAGATGGCACGTCAAATCTTTTTGACAAGTGACAGAAGGTTGACACTCCTTCCTATGTAGTTGGGACCAAATATGGTGCAAGGAAAGGAGCATTATCCTTCTTCGAAAAAATGGGTCCGGATAACGGGAAAGTACCAAAAAAAAACTGCTAATTCGCGCCACTCAAAACCGCATGCGGGCGGCTGGAGCGCATGCAGCACAGTTCCGGAACAGTTCCAGCACAGTGCGAAAAGTGTGCCGGAACTGTTCCGGAACTCACGGATCAGAGTATGAACCCAGCCTAAGCGTTCACATCGAACATCTTGCGCTGCGTTTGCTGGAGGTGGCCAGACATTTTGCCAACCCTGAATAAAGAACCAATTTGAAGCTTGGGGTACTTTTATAGACGATAGTATACATATGGGTTACGATATATGTATGTTTCAGTCCGAACTTCCACCAGCGTTGGTAGCTGAGGGTTTTTCAAAAGCCCGCGCACAAGGCCTTTGCGACGCGAGTATGCATTCGCGAGCGGAAACCTCGCCCTTGACACGGACTGTAACTAGGGTCTAAAGACGAAATGCCACATAGTTTACATAGAGGGGCATATCCAAAAACCTCTATAGGAATTGAATGTATGGAATGAGGTAATGCGGCAGAGAAAAAAAAGAGAAAAACCTGCCTTTCCATTTGGCAAAACTTTTTCCATGATGTATGGCCGCTCTGCGATTGTAGAAACGCGAAGAACACGAGCCTGGAAAATCGCGCTTTCAGCGCTTATTCCTAGTTGACACTGTAGACCCACCTGATGTCGCCTATTAATATCGTACTCCTGCGTGCCAGGAATACTCGCAGCTCTCATGGTCAGTTGCTTCGCTCCGGTGCGATCCGATGACCAAGTTCCGGTCTGAAATGATTTTTTCTTTACTTACTTCACTCATTAATTTACAAACAGACATTTAGAGCTGTGCCATCCATTCCGAATTCCCAGATTTGAAGTTGATTGTCCAGTCGATCCCCGTTGTCGTTGAAGGACAACAAGCCAGTCAAACCGCGAACAGTCTTTAAAGTGAAGTTGAAGAGAAGCTGTGTTTGTTCTCTACTTACCCGCACATGCAACGACTTAGAGTTATTCGATGTAGATGAAGATCTACACGAGCGAGCTTTCGGTAGAGGATGATTGAGATGACAAGATGTGAGGATAGCGTCGAAAATATATGCAAAATCTTTCTGTAATTATTTCCTGCAAGAGATGATGATACAGCATTCAAAATGACCTAAGCAATACCATTACGACAAATGATACTGGGTTGCGCGTACAGAGAGTAGTCTTCATTTCAACAAGGTGTGTAATTGCACAACCCATCTGCACACGCAGCTGCCACAAAAAATGAGAATCAGTTTGCTTTGTGAGGTAGTCTTCGTGTTAACTTTCTATGGTTCACTTTCTTTTGATAATGATGGTGACTCAACCACCACCAGCCAGCTCTAGTCCAGATCAGGAAAGTGGTGCAATTACAGAAGGCAACAATAAGAACGACTGCATGTTCAATGGGTCCAGTGGCGTACCGAGCGGGAGAGGTGGGAGGGGGGGGGGGGGGGGAGCGAGAATGGGTCGTGAGATTTTTGAAAGTTACTCACATGTGTTATAAAATGTGCAGAGGACCTGTTTTTACTTGTGAATGATTAAAATTATTTTTAAAAATTTTTAAAAATTCAAATTAGCCTTATACAAACATTTATTTGGGGTCAGGAACCCGCAAAAATTTTGAGAAGCATCCCAAGATTTTTCGGATTTTATCGCCCCCCCCCCCCCGCCCTCCTTCCCTTGAGTCCTGGGTACGCCACTGATTAGGTCATATTGTGACAAATTTATGCAATTGCACACTACAAGCCTATTGCGCGCAGGATTCGAGCCTGAGCAGAGGGAGTGGGGCGAAATTCAGTTTTGTTATAATGTTTTTTTTTTCTTTGTTTAATCTTCTCAGGCACAGGGGAAAGCTATGCCATAAGGCTAAGGCGTCAGTATTAGCGGTGCGTGTTGTACGCAATCGCACATGAGACCTTCACCAACAAAGGAGGTCGTTTTGCATAAATATCGCAAAAATTCCACTTACGAAAGGGGTTATTCTTGAATGCCCTATTTTTCGTAGCCAGCTATTATAGAGTTCCTTGATCTTATCCCTATCGTGAATGAGGGGATCGATGTCGCCTTTCCAAATTGTTATAAGTGATAGGCGCATGGTATTGTGTACATATTGTTCAAGATGATTATCCAAGTCGTCCTAAATCTTCTCTTGTTCAAACGAGTTATTTGACGAAAATTTACACTGACCAGACTGCTGACGACAAACCAGTTGTGTATACTGATCATTCCTAATTTAAGCGCAGCGTCCAGAAATCTGAGGGTATTGTTGGGACTCATATCGATGATAACTCTATTCCTCTTCACCCAACAAAAGCGCCTGAAGTATAATATAAAACTTTTCATCCTGAATCGCCTGCGGACACCCATACCGATCGCAAATGCCTCTTAGAGCCAGGGCTGCTATCATCAATCCTTGTTCAGTGGAATCGTCGACCATCAGAAGTGAGGGAGTGACTACGGTGCGTGAGAGCACTGGGCTGAGCTGTCTGGGGGCTAAAATCCAGTTAATATTTTCAGACTTTTGATGTTCTAGTTATGAAGTAGATCGATAACATGATTATGGCACCCGAAAACTATGAAAAATTAATTCTGGGAATGCTTGAAGAATTTTTCTAAATTCTATTACATACTTCTTGTGGCTCACACTAAATTTTGCACCTGTACGCGCAGAAGATTTTACTTGCATCAATTTCGAGAAGATAAATAAAAAATTAAAAAACCGTAAATCGGTCGAAAAATAACAATAGACGCCACTTTTTTGAGTGAAAAGAGCGGGGTCATGAAAGCAAAAGTAAAGCCTTCAAAAAATGGAATGTTCAGTTTGCTTCTTCGTGGTAACCTTCGATTCAACTGACTTAGCTTCGGGAAGGCTGGTCTTTGTGATTTGATCAAGGCCGCTCGCTCCCGCGACGCACTCTGCGTCTGTCTCGCGCGCGTGCTCCCTGATCATTCTCTAAACTTAACAAGGTCACGAAGGCCCGCCTTCCAGCCGCCAATCTAGTTGAATAAAGGGTAAATTACGATCTATTGAAGAGATGAATATCGTGGCAAAAATTTATGTATTCTTTTTTCAGATTGCCTTTACACAACATCTTTTTTTGCAGTGAACTGCCCTCTTGAGTGCTATGTGAAAAACAAAACCCAGAACCAAATAAGAGCAGAATGACAGGGAGCGGACTGACACAACTAACGAAAATGACTACAAACAGCAAAATTAGCACACACCTTCTTTATTTGTATAAACAAACGTGAAATAATCCCATTTCCAGTGTGAAAGCAACCTATCCAAGAGGATGCTATACTGAGATGTTGGAAAAAGATTGATGACGTACGAGCTGTTCCTGCAATTTATTGAATTTGAGGGTCATGATATGATTATACAGGGTGTCCCAAAAAATGTGCCTATTGTTTGATCACTACGTGATATATTTTGGAATCGTTGTTTACCCATTAACACCCCTGGTCCGTGAAACATGGCAAACGAGGAGGCCGCAGACGGGGAAATTATGATGAAATACACTGATCTTTGTCTTTGGATTGCTGCCAAGTGGCATGCGTTTTGGAACGGTGCCAATTTTCAAAACGAGTGGCCAAGCATATTTTCGTAAAAGGGTCACACGTATTTCGAAAGGCAATCATGAGGTCGCAATGATTTTGAGACTGGGTCGCCCGTGTCCGGGTGTCCGGGTGGTTATTTGTAGCTGCTTTTTTTTCGAGCTTGTTATCCCAGAATGTGTCTCTCAAATATGTTATACTCCTACTAGTTGCTTCTGAAATGATGCCAAATTGCGTAACAGCGTGACTTGAGCTAAATTCATCTAAGTTCCCGACTCTTGTAAAAATGTAACTAAGAACAGTCACTTTAGGATCGTCTTGCTTCCACGTGAAGACAAGAGAGTGCGTGAGTACTTGGTCTCGCTGGTGCTTTTGGAAACGTTTATCTAATAACAGCCTTGCTTTTGCTTGTTAATGGTGCTGGTGCTTTCAACTAAGAATCGGTGTGTAAGCGGCACGTAGGGCAATTGCATCGGGCAGATAAACAGATTTTTGTACGCTTGGGGCAGTTCTCAGAATTGAAATTCCAAAAGTGGCATGTACGGCAATTTGAGAATACGCTGTAAATACTTGATTTCGTTGTTTTCTTTCCGTAGAGTCGTAAGGTTGGTTTTTCTTATGTATACGGTCTTCAAGGAGCACATAGGCATAAATTTTCTTTTGAATAGTTATTATCGGTCGGTAAGCGGCACGTAGGGCAATTTGATCGGGCAGGCGAACAGATTTTTGTACTTTGGGGCAGTTCTTATATTTGCACGGTCTTCAAGCGGCACGTAGGGCAACTTGATCGGCCAGGGGAACAGATTTCAGTACGTTTGGAGCAGTTCTTATAATTTTTAAACGGTCTTCAAGCGGCACGTAGGGCAACTTGATCGGGCCGGGGAATAGATTTCTGTACGTTTGGGGCAATTCTTATAATTTTTAAACGGTCTTCAAGCGGCACGTAGGGCAACTTGATCGGCCAGGGGAACAGATTTCAGTACGTTTGGAGCAGTTCTTATAATTTTTAAACGGTCTTCAAGCGGCACGTAGGGCAACTTGATCGGGCCGGGGAATAGATTTTTGTACGTTTGGGGCAATTCCTATAATTTTTAAACGGTCTTCAAGCGGCACGTAGGGCAACTTGATCGGGCAGGGGAAAAGATTTTTGTACGTTTGGGACAGTTCTTATAATTTTTGAACGGTCTTCAAGCGGCACGTAGGGCAATTTAATTGGACAGGGAAACAAATTTTTTGTACGTTTATGCAGTTCTTATGATTGACGGTCTTTAGGTGGCTCAGTAGTGTGCTTTTCGGGGAGGGATCTACTTATGTAGTAAAGCTTCATATTCCTTTGGCGAAAATATTGAAAAATTTTCTGACAAAGTTCATAGACGATTGGTTTCGTTGCTGTCGGAGTTGATTGTGAGAGAAAAGTGTTTTTTGTAGTACACAATTGTCGTGGGTGTATTTCTACTTCCAAAACGATAGGTGTTCTTCTACTTCCTTGACGATAATCTATGGAAATTGTTGAGAAGAAGTGGAAGAGCAAATTCTCTTTGAGAGGGTAGAAAAGATGGGGGGGGGGGGGTTATCTGAATGTCTCTCTGAGGAGGGAAAATTTGCAGAAAAAGCGTGGTAAACGAGAGAAAAATAATATCCCATGCATGGTTGCAGCAGGAATTTCGAGAAATGCTGAATGATTTGTGGAGATTATTGCTTCTTCGAACAGTTCTCCTTTTGTAGAATGCTTCGCAAAGATGTTCTCAGCAAAGGCATAGGAAACTTATTTAGAAATATTTATAATCACAACTAACCTTATATTGTATCTGCCCCTACCCACTTGCTAGCGACCCGTAGGGTCGCTAGTTATTAATAACTCTCTTGTCATGAAATCCTTCGGGAAGAAGGAACCATTTTGTAGAGCTGGCTCTCTAGATCTACGGTATGGAGCGAATTACCGATGCCGTTCATTACTATAGGATTGCGGTAGGAACTTTGCAGAGGGTTTTGAGCTATTAAAGGTCATATTTTGCCTCAGAAAGCAAACAAAACAACCTGAAAACCTTCACGCTGGGCTAATTAGATTTGCTGATTCTAAGCTGTGAAGTTCGGAGTTATCACAATGCTTCATTGAAAGGTTATGAAAGGTAAGCAGTACCGGCCGTTTTTCAATCCCAATAAAGTTCGGTTACACCGTTCAGAAAGTTCGCAATCTTGTGCATAGTTGGTATTGATCTCAGCGTCCATGGAAACCCTATTACACAATTTTTCACTTTTTTTGAAAATTTTTGAAACGGCAGCTTCTTTCACAGTGACACCATGTACTTGAAGTTTCTATCATAATCCTACAGTGATGAAGGGCATTCGGTAATTCGCTCCATACTGTTTAAGCTAAGGCTAACTCTACAAAACGGTACCTAAAGCTTCTGGAAAGACTTCATTATACGAGAGTTATCAACGATCAAACAGTAGGCACATTTTTGGGACATCCTGTAGTTTCAATGCCTACGTCTCTTCAGCTTTTGAGTAAACAGGATCCCAATGATACTTTATGTAGGCGATACCCAATTCTCGGCATAAAGGTTCTATGAGCATAGCAAATTCTCTGTTAGATGGCCCAAGTAATACCACTGCACCTGCATCGCTGAGCTCACAGACTGAAACTGATAGGTTCGTATTGAACAGATTGAAAAATTTCTGAAACGTACCTTTCTGCCGCAATTGCTCAAAATTATTGCTGCTCACAAACGTGAAAATTGGATGAAATGAGCAATCCCGAAATAACGTAAAAATTCGTTCGTTAACCGCTTTTTCAATGATGTCAACAGCTTCCTGAATGTACTCCTGACTTCCTTCTTCGAGAAGAATGCCTAAAATACTAAGAGTTGGATTTTACTTGTGAACTTTTTTGGTCATTTACCTATATTGAATGTATTCGTGTAGCAACCAACTGAAATAAGGCAGCAATAGGCAAATAAAAGCTCAGACTGCATAGTAGCCGAGGAAGTAAAATTTCAGCGACATTTGCCTTCATCCCGCCACTAATTGGCTGGCTAATGTGGAGCTTTTAGGAGACTTCAAAAGGTGAAGTGCTTTGCGTACGCCGGAAAGTTTATCTATTGTCAGTAAATCTACATTAAATGAGAAAAATAGGCGGATTAGTTTAGTTTGAACGAAAATTTACAAAAATGCAATTATTTTCGCTTGGAAATGTCGTAAATAATCATTCTCTATGTCAAGCATGCAGCCATAAACTAGCGACTTTACCGTCCTTCTCACTTTCGCCCTCGCTCATAGAACCCTCGATCAAGTACGAAGTCAGTATTTCCTTGCTTTAAACCCCTTTTAGGCTGATTGTAGTTCATCTAGGTGATGCCTATTGTTAGACAATGCAAGCAGCATAACGAACACTCTGCTTTGATGTATTTTCTCGTTTTCTCGGTAAAATTGGATCTTCCATAAGTCGCCACTAGTTACTGAAAACTATAAAAAATATTTTGAAAATCCAAGGAAAGGGTTCAATCTAGGTCATAAAATTTCAAGGTATGCGACAAATGGGAGTGCAAGCGTTAGGTTACAAAACGTGCGAACCCGGTGTAAACCCTGTAACTCACAACTATGCGCCATTTTTTAATTAATGGGTCGATTTTATATGTCGACCCCGACCCCCACCACCCCGCCCCCCTCCACCCTCCTGTTATTGCTGCTGAAGACGTTTTGCACGAGGAGTTTTTGGGGCACAAGAAATTGGGTTTGTTGCCTAAGGCTCTACTCACTTATTCACCCCTCCCCCTCCCCCTCCCCGACAAATTTAACTTTCGTTATGCAGAATAGAAACCCCAAATCAAGTACTGGAATGTGAAAAATTCGATAAACAGTCTTTTGTTGGAGACGTCCGATCAGCGCGATTTCTCAATGATTGATTAGGTTACAAGAACAAGTTCAAAAACCTAAGTAAATTTCATTGGGTCTTTTATTTCAACGACTAAAAATAGAGGGTACGATTTGGATATTCTTCTTCATCATCTTGTATCGCCGCGATTTGTCAACAATAATTGGGCAGTGTGCAACACTAGGAAGCCAATGATCTACGAAACGAGAGATATCAATAAAGTCCACTTTTTCGGTTATCAGGTTCGCTATAGAAGGAGCAAGAGGATACTATATTGTAGAATGCCCGATTGTAGCGGCTTAGGCGTATATTCTTCGATGCTTATCTTACGTTTGTTCTTCACCTTCATTGGCTTTTACCACATTAATTCATTACCACAATTAGTACTACCGTGATAATGTCTATGAAGGCGGAAGAGCATTACTCTCACTATAGCAGACCCACTTGTAAGTTTCTAGTCATTACTGGACATTGCATAACGAAAGTGTGCTTCGGAGATCGTGAAAATGTAAAATTTTGCGCACGGGTCGGAAATTAGCAGAGGCATTGCTAAGTAGGTCTTATTGTTGAAGGATATGTTGAGAGTTTCACTACTCTCAGCCCTCCTTGAAAATGTCTAGAACATCTGACCTGACATCAAGAGCGAGTTCAATGCCCATCTTAGTCACTTTTTTCGTGTGGTGCACAAAGAACTACACTTAGCCCACTAGATGAAGTACACGGCTTTATTGAAGAAGCCACCACGCATATCTACACCATACTTACGCAACGCTACTTTTTGCAAGCTCCGCAACCACATGAAACAACGCCGACGCACTCGTTCTATACCAGAGATCACCGTATCGTCAGTTTGATGCCATTGGTCTCGGCGCGATCGTGAACGCCCTTGAGGTCTCATTGGAGCAGGATGAAAGACCAACTAGCGATCGAATACCGCTTTGACACGCTTTGATATGTATTACATCGGGTATATTCTGCTATTTCTGCATGTTCACGTGCAGTCATCCAAGCTTATCATGCACATGTTTGTCATGTTTTTGTGCAGATCGTGCATTTCAATACGCTGTCTCGTCAAAACTTTTTCTGCTCGAAAGAGATTCACTAAACAAGCTCTCCCGCACGTGTCGAAGCTTTTTTTGTCCGACTGTCACATGAATGAACTGTTCACTCTCTTTTTATTATCATCACGTTTGGTATTTGATTCGTCGTTTTTTCTGCTCTTGAGGTGAGGAGTTTTCAGTGATGTGATATGACGGCAGTCTTCTTGTAATCGGTGCATAGTAGCGATGTGATTGATGACCATTTTCTCTGCATATTATCGCGGAAAGGAAATGGGGATGAGATTGTTTTGTGAAAAACGGTGTAGGGATGTGAATGCCTACAAGAACTAGTGGAATGCATTTTGCGCGATCGGTCTTCTGAAAAAAAAAGTCTGCGAGTTCCATGGCCGCAAAAGTCGCTTTATTCCTAAATCCTAGGTTTGAAGTAGAATTTATTGAAACCTGCGCGAAATGAATGTTTTTTTGTGAGTTTTTGCAGGCACTATTTTGTTGCAAATTTTGTGGACAAAACTTGTTGGGCCCTTTTTTTAAACAAATTTACAAATCAGGTTTCTGAAACCTTCGAAGTAACTTAAAATGACTATTGGATTTCTGCTTTTCCTTTTCCTTCTTGATATTCTTTTTGTACTTCCCGTATTGTAATTCTCGATTCTGTTGTCCATAATTTCAGCTCGTTTTCTTTTTTACAGTCATGTCTTCGGTGGACGTAAATAAGGGTATCACCTCCCATAAGACTGCCACAATCCGAAATTACACAACACAGCCACGTCTTAGTGAGTGCTTTTTTCTTTGTTTGCTACACTCGTCATTATTCAAGTGTCTTGCTACCACTTTTTGTTCCATGTCCTTTTCAAACCGGTTTTCTCAGCAGCAGCTGTTTTGGTTCTTTGCAACAATTGCACTTTATTGCATTATGAAGAGATATAAATGGAAAGCCGGTGCCCGAAAGCCACGCCGTGTGCACGTGCGAGTGGCAACAGTTCTAATCAATTCTGACATCATAGATGTACTTGTTCTATGCTAGGCATTTCTTGCATTTGCTATCACATTTTAAAACGAAAGTGAACTTTTATTCCGCTTATGAGCGTTAATGACCTCAGTATCTGGTTTTATGACTTTTTTGCAGCGATGTGGGATTTCATGCCTTTTTTCCGATCCTGCATTTAATTCTTTTCGCACTTGAAAGTGCAAGTTCTTTATAATACAGCAAGATCTAATCTCTTTCATGCGCAGTGTGCACCTATAGATGTTCTAGCATATAGCCGAACGTATCCATTCTTAACTCCACAAACACTTAAATGGCACCAATTATTTGCTATAAAATAGGAAATTCTCTATAAATTGATTATCGCCATGCAATAGAAGCTCAATTTGGAGGCTTCATTCGATGTTCTTGTGGCCTCAGTAATGGCGCTGTTCTTTTGTTATATAATCTCACATCTGATTCATTGGCCTACCACAGCCACACTATGTCTTTTGTCGTTTGCTAGCCTTGTTATGTAACGCGCAAATAGTGAGTGGTTGTAGAATAAATGCACGCTATCATTTGAGTTGTTTCCCCGTAAAAAAACTCTTAGTTTGTCACCATTCCGTCATTTTTGTTTCAAGCAGAATTACTACAACACTTTTGATCGACTGATCAATCCTGTTAGACTGTGTTTGACACTTAGCCTCTGCGTAAATCTTGTCTAAAACACCAAGTTCTCTTTTTGGCTGTTCATTCTTCCATGCAAAAGTCCATCTTTCAGTTTTTTGTGGACGATCACGTATTGTTTGTTTGTCTGTTGGTAACGATTATTGTGTGTTTACAGTCTACAAAACCGTCAGTGGTGTAAATGGACCGCTAGTAATCCTCAACGATGTCAAGTTTCCTCAGTTCAGTGAGATCGTTCTCCTCACATTGCCGGATGGAACTAAGCGATCTGGGCAGGTTCTTGAGATCACAAGAAATAAGGCTGTCGTCCAGGTACTGTCACCTCTAGAGAATCTGCATGACGAGCAGCGATGGTCTATACTGCATAAAATCTGATCTAGGTTTTCGAAGGAACCTCGGGTATCGATGCCAAGAACACCATTTGTGAGTTTACCGGTGATATCCTTCGTTCACCTGTATCTGAAGATATGCTCGGTCGTATCTTCAACGGATCCGGAAAGCCTATTGACAAGGTATGCTACTTTTTCATTGTCTCCTGGCTTCGATATAACCAAAAATTCAGGGACCACCTGTGCTAGCAGAGGACTTCTTGGATATTAACGGACAACCTATCAACCCTTGGTCCCGTATCTATCCTGAGGAAATGATTCAGACCGGTATCTCTGCTATCGATGTCATGAACTCCATCGCTCGTGGACAAGTAGGTGATCAGCCAGTTGTTGGCTAAGCGAAAGTAATAATCATTTCTCAGAAAATTCCCATCTTCTCTGCTGCTGGTCTCCCTCACAACGAAATTGCAGCGCAGATCGTACGTCAAGGAGGTAAGTTTTTTGTTGTTCGATTCGTTGATGCAATTTGTTGATGAACTTCCATTACCATCTGTTCAGGTCTTGTAAAGCTACCTGATAGCAATCATGAAGCTGAGTCTAACTTCGCTATCGTGTTCGCTGCTATGGGAGTCAATATGGAGACTGCTCGTTTCTTCAAGCAAGATTTCGAAGAAAATGGTGATTTTTAAGTCGCTCATGTTCTCCACTCTTCAATACCATGACTTCTAGGATCCATGGAGAACGTATGTCTTTTCCTCAACTTGGCCAACGATCCAACCATCGAACGTATTATCACACCTCGTCTTGCTCTGACTGCTGCTGAGTTCTTCGCCTATCAATGCGAGAAACACGTACTCGTGGTACTTACCGATATGACTTCTTACGCCGAAGCCCTTCGTGAGGTACAAATTTTTGATACTTTTCGCATTTAGTGTGAGATTTTTTTCTGAATGTTGGCATCTGCAACTATACTGATGCGAACCGGTGCAGGCTTACTATGTTCGAAAGTGTTGTCATCCACATAATTTATAGGTGTCCGCTGCTCGAGAAGAAGTGCCAGGACGACGTGGTTTCCCAGGTTACATGTACACTGATTTGGCTACTATCTATGAGCGAGCCGGTCGTGTAGAAGGAAGAGATGGTTCCATTACTCAAATTCCAATTCTCACCATGCCCAACGATGGTTAGTTGTGATACTCGGGCAATTGAGTGCTATTCTTTTTTGGTTGCTGTCTAAATCTACGAAAATCGTTAAAAGAGTTAGAAGCGTGCTGGGTCCTCAACAACTGTCTGTTCAGATATCACTCATCCTATCCCTGATCTCACCGGATACATCACTGAAGGACAGATTTACGTTGATCGTCAGCTCCATAACAGACAGGTAGCTGAGATTCTACTCGTCGATTTGCAATATACGTTTACCCAATCATTAGATCTACCCACCTATCAACGTATTGCCATCTCTTTCGCGTTTGATGAAGTCTGCTATTGGTGAGGGAATGACTCGCGAGGATCACTCGGATGTGTCTAACCAGGTACCGCATTCGCGTTTATACGCACTGGGACTTTCCTTGCATATCAGAAAGTTATAGTTGTACGCTTGCTATGCTATTGGTAAGGATGTGCAAGCCATGAAGGCCGTCGTAGGAGAGGAGGCATTGTCATCCGATGACTTGCTGTATCTTGAGTTCTTGATCAAATTCGAGAAGAATTTTATCTCACAAGGTATATTTCCCTTCGGGTTGTTAGTGGTATCTTATCATTTTCTTGTAGGAAACTATGAGAACCGAACTGTGTTTGAGTCGCTTGATATTGGATGGCAGTTGCTACGTATCTTCCCAAGGGAAATGCTTAAGCGAATCCCCGAAAGCACACTTGAAAAGTACTATCCTAGAGGTGGAGTGAAAACTGAGTAGTTGGCACTACTTAGCTCGTAGACTGTAAACTGTATCTACTTATTATGTCGAACTTACATTGTCCAGTGTACTCGAAAGTATTCTCAGAGCATGTCATTGTCGTTCTTGTGCTTACTTTTTGTGTTCTCAGCAGTACTACCAACAATATGTGATCAAATGATGATTCCACTGTGGTGTTTTCGGTATCTCCAAACGATTGTGATGATTCGGTTTCCTAGACCGAAAATGGAGCTGGCAAATCGCTCCCAACGAAAGATTTTGTTAATAAATTGAATAAAGATTTATTTAGCTGACATCTTTTACGACCGTAACAATCGTCCAATGACAGTCCATGAATGCATAGTTAGTGGATGTGGCATGTGAGAAAGATATTCCACATCCTGCTAGGCAAATCCCAAATATTTGATTTAGATGGACCATTAGTCAACGAGTAATGTTCATTGTTAGGATGTGATGGTCATAAAATGAACAGCACATTTTTATTTAAGATTTAGTAGTCCGCACCGAAGTAGCGGACGATAGCCGCACACGGATGTAGTGGACGGACGGTACTAAACAGGGAACGATACTTAGTGACCCCGGCCATTCATAATGGTTGTATATCAAAAAATGCGCCTTTTAATGCTGATGAATACTGTTTTCCATATTTGCGAAACGAGAACTTGGATGGAGTTATATTTGTTCTTTTCAAAATGAATTGCGCTAATGCGGAGGGTGAAAATCATCAATAAAAATTTTGCTTTCCTCTTCAAATGCTAAATATGATTTGGATAGATATAAATATAACGTTACACCTTTCAAGATTCTTCTCAATAGCTACAAACGGTAAAATAGATCAAATTGGGTGATCTTAACTACCTAAAAGTACGCAAATTTTCTAGGGGAAAAAATTCATAACTGCCTTTATATGATCGTTTCGCAGATTTCGAGCACAGATTTAGAATCAGCATTTCGAGGTGCACCTTATGGTATGAATCGCGCTTCAAGCCGGGGTCACCAAGTATCCTTTCCTTGTAAGTGCCACTCGTGTATCACATCTCTAAATGGATAGGGATACTGCTCAGATAATGATAGAAGGGATTGAGCGAATTGCTTTTCGGGGACTGTGAGCTCGAATTCTTGCCGAGCGGGACTTATACGTACGCACGCACGGCTGAGCAATTTCTAACTTGGGTAATTAAACTTTATTACTAATAATCAATTAACAAAATGCGTTAATAAAAACAATTAACATAAACTAATCCTGAAGGCAATTAGAGAACCTAAACTCAGACTGGCCCAAAAGGATGCAAATGATATGATCTTAGCAAGCAAAGGCATCTACAAAACTGTGTTTCTGAATTAAGCAAAAGAATCGAAACCGTTGTGGCTATGAATGGTGCAGGCGAAGGAAATGAAAATGCTGTGACTTCGAGTAAAGCAGGCAAGCAATCAAAATACCATGATTGTGAATGAATCAAGTAAAATGAGCAAAATGCTATAAATGCTGTTCTGTGAATATATTGGAGCCATTATTGCATAAGCTTTTAAAGACTGGTTCTATGTACTGTATCCAAAAAAAGCTGTGACCTAAGAGATTGAGAAGACAATTAACTATTAAAAAAGAGAATATAAAGAGAGAAAAGGTGAATTTCTTATACACACATTAAACTCGATGTAATTATCGACTTAATTGAAGCGTCGGAATGCTAAACAAAATGTCGTCGGGTTTGCGAAACTACTGATAAGCTGCTTCATGCAAATATGTTGTTGCTTCGATCCCATTCCCCGCGGCTCAGAGACACGAACGTTAAGTTCGTATACTCCGGCCTCGCATTAAGAATGCGAGGGACCCTTGTCCTCGCTGTGAACTGTGAGATTCCTATCGTGGGTAATCATTTGCAGCTCCCGTTGGTAGTTTTGAACGCTCTACTCAAGCTCTCTTTGGCGACTACATAGTCGGTCCATTTCGTCAGGCAGTGGACAGATTCCGGCGTGATGATCGTAGGCAGTATTACGGCCGACATTCTTGCAATAAAAGCATGATGTGGGTTTCGGGCATGCGTTCGCGTTCCAGACAGCGATGGCATCGTCTTTCCAAGATGGTTACGCGGTCTGTGATTGAAGTCACTCTTGGGCATGCATCCGAATAATGTTGTCCGAACTACTTGCAAAATATACACATGATGAGCTGGCCCGTCTTCAATCCTCCGTCACCTGTTCGTCGTACCGGGCGCAAAATCTTCCGCAGCTCCGTCTGTGTTCTTTCAAGTTCCTCCTCATAGTTGGCTAGAAGTTCCTCATAGTGCTGGCGTCGGTCCGTTGTCTTCTGTTCCGAATGCCTCCGTTTGCGACTTTCTGTGTAATCGTAGTGTCCCGTGCGATCGCTGAAGCCATCCTTCCTTGTTCTACTGCGGACATTGGATTGAGAGCGTCTGTGTTCTCGACGGCGATCTTCCGCCGATACCTCCTCTCTACGATGTCTAGGTCTTGTCTTCGAAATCTCATCCGTCAGGTGACTCGAAAACTTTGAGTTGTCTCTGCCTCTCCGGTCCGATTCTTCCTTGAATTGAGCACCGAGTCCTAGCAATTGCTGTTCCAGGCAAGAAATCCTTTGCTGTAGTTGTCCAAGCTGTGTATCGAGTCCTGCCTTTATGTCTTTGACACACTCCGTTCGTTCTATCAACATTTGTATTCCCGCCTGATTGTAAGCCTCCTCGATCTGTTTTCGAATGTGATCGTGTTGTTGGCAGAGAGCAGACCTCACGCTTGAGTTGTGAAATTGCATCCTCGAGTTTTCTCATATCCCGACCATTTGCTTCGGTGACTTCCACTTGGCGCGATTTTTGGCGACCAACTCTTCCGTGAAGGCTGTGAGAGTCTGTTGAACCTCCTGATAGGCCCTCATTTCCGTCGCCCTGCTCCTGGTGGTTTCTTCTTCCACGTCACAGTTCTTCCTTTTCATCATGAGTGAGCGTCTTGCATCCCCTGCATAGGTTTGGACGATCCGTCTCACGTCCTCCTTCATGCAATTGTGAGAGACGGCTTTAGGCAGTGGTATCCTCAGTCTGTGGGTCTCGTGGGCCTCATGGTGACGTTTTGTCCAAGTGCATCCAAGTACATCAAGCGATCAACTTCCTGTGCATCTTCCATCGTTACTAGGATCTTGTACCACTCGTGGGCCAGGTAGAATTGGTCCATCCAGTGAATCAACTTCCTCAACTCGTCTAGATGCTTGGCTCTCATGTCCTTCAACTTCAACATGTAATTGATTGACTCCTTGACCGTGTACGACATCTCTTAGGTTCCCTTTCACTCGATGTAATCCAGCTCCGCTTGCGTCAGACGGTCTTCGAATTTGTAACTTTGTCGCTGAAATTCCTGATCCTCTGCTGTACCTGTGCCGCGGTGGGTTTCGCCGGTATTGTTCGACATTGGTCACTTCCTTTTCGATCTTCTCTCGGAGTCTTCTTTCCAGTTCTGTGAAGAAAGCTGCCATTTCCTGTGAAGAGGGAACATTAGAGACAGATGATCTTGGGTTCAACTCTCCTCCTGGGACCCTTTGCGTCGAGAATCTCAAACTGGAAAGCCGTGCGCTTCACTCTGCAAAGGACGCGTTAGACAAGCAATTGACAAATCACCACGTGCCTTCCGGGCTAAGCAGACAAGTTGGTTTTGTCTGAGTTTCTGTGATCCTCAAGTCTTATGATCTATCTTTGGCTTATGTCTCTATGAGCCGATGATGATTGTTTAAGTTTATCATCGGTTGTCATCTTCGAGAAGGCGTGCGCAGTACCAGTGCGTTCGGCTATGTTTTTCTTCCGCCGATCTCGATGGCTGTTATTCGCACTGGTATTATTATAATTTTTTTCTGTATTCGTTGTTGTTTCTGTATTTTATTCATTCATTTATTTATTTTATTTTATTCATTTGTCTATCAAAATTGTACAATCAAGTGCGGAACGACAATTAAATCCTTTAAATCACCGGCCGGCTTCATTACACCGAAATCTAGAGGGAGCCGCATGGGGTGTCCTGAATGGAGAAAGTGAGATCTTTTCAAAGATCAACTTACTGGACTCAGGGCCCGGCACGAGCTTGTCAAAAGGGGTTTTCGAAAACGAATTCCCCTTTGACCCAAAATTTTTTTACGAATTCCCCTTTGACCCAAAAACTGATCCCAATGATTGCGCAGTGAACACTTTACGAAGAGAACAACTTTTATTGAACTGAGACTAACAGAGAGACTAGATGATATTGCAGACGAAAATGCAACAAAATAAGGAAGCTACTAGGATGACAATAAAGTGTGCACCAGCTTGCCAACTTGATGAAGTTACGTAAGGTAGGAGAAAATTGTGAAAAACCTAGAATAGTTATAAAATCGTGACTGTGATAGCTATATAGTACTCAATTCATTTCAAGCATAACCTCATCAGCGTTGTCATCTTGTTCAGAAATCTCATCTTTTTTCAAAAGAACTGGAGTGGCTAAGCGTATAGAAAGAGCTCCGATAGGTGCAGTGATGAGGATGCTCAATATAGCCTGGTCAAAATTAGGATACCATTTTCTATTTGAGATGAAGTTGATGTCGCTCTAGATCTGGCTGTTTCCAAAATAACAGGGGCCAGCGCTGCCTAAAACAGACAACATTGCAGATAAATTCATAATACGATCAGGTGATTTGAGCAGATTTAGGTACCTGCATTGTTCGCTTTTAACATCCACGCGATAGCGACAAAAAAACGTTCTTTCATTGTGAGCGTCGAACCGAACCGCAAAAAACGAAGCAGTAAATCGAAAAACGAGACCAAATGCTAACACCAAGACTCCAGTTAACATGGTACTCAAGCTGATCTAAACATGATTTTAAAGCTACGAAACGGAAAACGTTGAGCACACCATACCGATACTAAGCTGCTCCAAGCCGATAAGACCAAACAGAAGAGGTGAAAAACATGATACCACATAAGGGCTAGTAAATCTTCCTCTGGAAGTTCACCATGCCAATAATCAGTACAATAATTTGACCATTTATAAGGAAAAAGCGTTCAAAAATCAAAGATGGCGTATTGCTCCTGAGACATGACAGCAACTAACCTCTTTCTTAAAAGCATGGCCGGCAACAAACGCAGCAATGAGGAGTGTAATAGCACCCGCCCCACCAAGTCGAATTCTTGCTTTCCAAATAAAAATACCAGAGAAAAAGAGAATAAAAGAGAAAGACGAGCGAAGTGGAGATTCTCCACTGTTTTTCGAGGCACTATGTGGAAAAATAACCCTATAACGGCACTTAATCCCGCATCAAAAGGATTAAAGTAAGGGTACTTACCAACCATAGCTCCGCAGAAAACCCCAGCAAAAACTTCTGCGGGTGCGCATAAGATAGTCGATAGCGGCGAGTCGCCTGAAACGCTTGGAAGTAGTGATAATAGATTGCTTTGGCTTCCATGCAAGAAAGTTACAATTTAAACACAATTTCATTGGCCCTAATTCCCGACGATTCGATATTTGGTCGAAATTAATCATACAGCACCAGACCTGTTGGGAAATTGAGTGATAGTTAAGACTGAACATAGTGATGGCATATACGTAATCCAAACTAGCAGCATACATGTGAAAAGGCGATAATGTGTTCCTACCCCCTTCACCCCAGGGCCGGAACCCAGCTGACCCCCCTTCACCCACGGCCGATGAGGAACTGGAAAAAGTGAGACTAAGAAATTAACATTTTAAGCAAAATTATAAAACTATCCACATTATTAAAATCAAATTTAGTAATATTTTAATTCATAATATCATTAATATGATTGTCAAAACTTACTTGCAGGCTCACTGAGAAGTACATCGGAAACTTGCCGCCTATTGTTCACATCTAGAGAACGATGAAAAATCCTGGAGAAAAATTTACGTGTGAAGCCTTTGTGTATATACGTCAATGAAGTTATTACTCACGTATTTGCTGAAGTAATAAGTGAAATAATAAATGAAGTTTGATGATCAGTGCGCAGTTAAATTGCAATCATTTTAAGAGGTATAAATTTTCTAAGCAGATGGCGGAATCCGTGAAAGTCATTGAATGATTCCTCAAAGAGTCATTGTTCTAACTTTGAATATTATTTCTAAACTCCAAAAGAGATCGTAACATTTGCGTAGAGAAGCAGGTGCAACAGAGGCACCTATTACATCGAAGACTTTGTGTAATCAGAGTTAGTCTTACTGTCAAAATGCTATAGCTACGAGGATCGTGGAGTTCTACAATCCGCCTACTTGGACGACAATTAAGGACGAGGAAGGACAGGCAGAGATGCATTTTTCTACGTTGGAGCACTATACAAGAGGAGAAGGACAATCATATATGATCATTGCGTGATTATTCTGAAAAAAATATTGTTTTCTGTCGAAGACGATTGAGAAATATAAAAGATCTTAGGAGGAAAACTCAGTCATAAATAGCCTAGTCTAGTGTAGAAGTCTACTTTTCATCCGCTTTCATAAAACATACAGCTTGCCAGGAGAAAGTTGGATTTAATCCTGCCAGGAAGAGATAGTTTTAGTCATTGTTTCAAAATTGTAGAATTTTTCTATAAAAAATGGTAACTTTTTCATATAAGAAATAGGAGAGTCTCTAACCATACATTGAATTACTCTTGTTGAGAGCTTTCAGAAAATATATAGTTTGCCAGGATAGAAAGGATTTTCCTGCAAGGTGAAGGTGATCATATTTGTTTTTCTAAAATCAAGGAAATTTTTTTTATAAACATTTATAACTTTACCATATGAAAAGCTAGAAGAGTCCTTTACACTCTGTTGGAATCCCCTCGCCGTCAGCTTTCAGAAAATATACAGCTTGCCAGGAAAAAAGAAGGTTTTCCTATCGGGTGAAAGGGGTCGTAGTCGTTTTTCCGGAATTAAGAAATTTTTTAACTTTAAAAAATTATAACAATTTTATATGAAAAGCTGGAAGAGTGTTTAGGTGTTAGATGAATTCCACTCGTCGTCCGCTTTCAGAAAATATATAGGTTGTTGGGAGACGGATGCAAAAAGTACGTGGTGAAAGGGGGGGGGAACATGGTATAATGGAAATTTTCCTTTCTGTACTCAAAAAGCGTCGTTTTAAGGAGCTAAAGGAACATGCCCATTATACCATGTTCCCCCCCCCCCCTTTCACCACGTACTTTTTGCATCCGTCTCCCAACAACCTATATATTTTCTGAAAGCGGACGACGAGTGGAATTCATCTAACACCTAAACACTCTTCCAGCTTTTCATATAAAATTGTTATAATTTTTTAAAGTTAAAAAATTTCTTAATTCCGGAAAAACGACTACGACCCCTTTCACCCGATAGGAAAACCTTCTTTTTTCCTGGCAAGCTGTATATTTTCTGAAAGCTGACGGCGAGGGGATTCCAACAGAGTGTAAAGGACTCTTCTAGCTTTTCATATGGTAAAGTTATAAATGTTTATAAAAAAATTTCCTTAATTTTAGAAAAACAAATATGATCACCTTCACCTTGCAGGAAAATCCTTTCTATCCTGGCAAACTATATATTTTCTGAAAGCTCTCAACAAGAGTAATTCAATGTATGGTTAGAGACTCTCCTATTTCTTATATGAAAAAGTTACCATTTTTTATAGAAAAATTCTACAATTTTGAAACAATGACTAAAACTATCTCTTCCTGGCAGGATTAAATCCAACTTTCTCCTGGCAAGCTGTATGTTTTATGAAAGCGGATGGAAAGTAGACTTCTACACTAGACTAGGCTATTTATGACTGAGTTTTCCTCCTAAGATCTTTTATATTTCTCAATCTTCTTCGACAGAAAACAATATTTTTTTCAGAATAATCACGCAATGATCATATATGATTGTCCTTCTCCTCTTGTATAGTGCTCCAACGTAGAAAAATGCATCTCTGCCTGTCCTTCCTCGTCCTTATCGTCGTCCAAGTAGGCGGATTGTAGAACTCCACGATCCTCGTAGCTATAGCATTTTGACAGTAAGACTAACTCTGATTACACAAAGTCTTGGATGTAATAGGTGCTTCTGTTGCACCTGTTTCTCTACGCAAATGTTACGATCTCTTTCGGAGTTTAGAAATGATATTAAAAGTTGGAACAATGACTCTTCAAGGAATCATTCAATGACTTTACACGGATTCCGCCATCTGCTTAGAAAATTTATTCCTCTTAAAAAGAATGCAATTCAACTGCACACCGATCGTCAAAATTCATTTATTATTTCACTTGTTATTTCAGCAAATACATGAGCAATAACTTCATTGACATATATACACAAAGGCTTCACACGTAAATTTTTCTCCAGGCTATTTCATCTTTCCAAAAGTGAACAATAGGCGGCGAGTTTCCGACGTACTTCTCAGTGAACCTGCAAATAGGTTTTTGGTGATCATATTAATGATATTATGAATTAAAATATTACTACATTTGATTTTAATAATGTGGATAGTTTCATAATTTTGCTTAAAATGTTAATTTCTTAGTCTCACTTTTTCCAGTTCCTCATCGGCCGTGGGTGAAGGGGGGTCAGCTGGGTTCCGGCCCTGGGGTGAAGGGGGTAGGAACACATTATCGCCTTTTCACATGCATGGTGTGGACTCCATGTTTTCATTTTCAATAATCATTTCAAGATGAAAGTCATCTCACGTTTTACTTTCTCTTCCACTCGACCTTCTCCTTTGCAGCAGTTGTATTTTCTACATAGAACAACCACTAAGGTTTCGTTCCCATGTTCTGCGCCTCTTATTCAATTTTGGCGATGTTTAGATTTTATATCTTCAGCTTTGTATTGTATAACACACAAATGGAACAACTGATGTTCTACATTCGACCGACTTTTAATTTCTGAAGCTTTTGGAAATTTATTAGAAATAAGTATTACATTCTCGGTCATGCGAGAGAG